CCCCCCCCCCCCCCCCACACACACACACACACACACACTTTAAGCCCAAATCTGCAGAGCACATTCTCGAGGCTTTGGATTTTGGCAATCGGAATAGGACGCAACACCCCACTGATATGAATGCTACATCTTCACGATCACATGCTGTTTTCCAGGTATTTTAATTTAAATCTATTAAGTCCCAGGAGACAGAGAAGCTGTTGCTATATATTGCAATAAAAAGGAAAATAAATTGGAAAACAGAAGTGCAATGGATCACTCAAGAATACTCATTGACTACTATCTCAGTCTAAAACAGAGATCACTAATTTATTTTAATATTATTTTTTTATACAGATTTATTTAAGACAGCAAGACAAAACTGCCAGCCTCAATCCTAATGTCTGTATTGCCAAAATGAGTCTCATTGACCTCGCTGGTTCAGAGAGAGCCAGTGCCACCAACGCCAAAGGAGCTAGACTTCGAGAAGGTGCTAATATCAATCGCTCCCTTCTTGCCCTGGGAAATATTATCAACGCTCTTGCTGACCCAAAAGTAAGTTGCCGTTACTTTAAATTGTCAGTATATTACAAATATTCATTTGTCAATAAGCATAGGTAAATATTTTGTGTGTGTGTGTGTGTGTGTGTGTGCGCGTGCGTGCGTGTGTGTGTGCGCGCGTGTGTGTGTGTGAATAAATACACAATCTGCACTGTGAGAAAATAAAAAATTGTATATTTTTTAAAACCCTTTCAATAACGGGTTTTATATTTTTATGGGTGATGCACAGATTGATAGATTTTCAAGGGTTTTGCAGACAAAAGCTATGTTTTTATTTTTTTACATCACATATTAGTTAACACAAAATCTGTTTATATGAAACATGATATTCTCAAGATTAAGTTTGTTTTAATTTGAAGTTAACCAGTTACATTCAGAACTTGGAAAGAAGTAGGTCAACTGAGTATTTGGGTATTATTTCATTCCAGTTGCATAAATTAACCTGTCGAGGTTTCTCCTTTTTTTTACACACCGAATCTTGAGATGAAGCACAAGCAATCAGTGCTTGGCAGACCTACCATGTTGACGTTCAATCCATCTTCTATTCACTTCCTTATTCTGGCCTCACTGCACTGGTTACCGGTTCACTTTTGAATCCAGTTCAAAATACTCCTGTATGTCTACAAATCACTGAACAG